TTCACAGACTTTGCATTGAAACATACTCCTGGACACAGTATTCTGAAATACACCTCCTTCTTCCCATCCCCAGGGAAAACGCAACTGTTTTTATACACAGGCAAAGAAAAACAGAGCTATACACAGCTTACAGCTGTAAGCACGATGCAAAGGAAGACATGCGATACCTTCGACCAATATTGCCAAATATATTTTCTCAACCAAGGTCAGACTGATGACAGATTTCATTCCTGGGCACTAAAATGCCTTTTCTGGAAAACCGGGAGCAAGCCGAATTCTCCCATGGCAGGAGATTCCAACAGGGGGGAAAGGAGTCCCAGGGCACCTCCCATTTCTTTGCTTGCAACAAACACACGAAAAGCCAGAACCCCACGAACATAAGTCAGGAGGAGGCGTTTTGCCCGGCACTTCAGAAGAAGAGGATCAAACACCGAGCCACAGCTACTTCAGGAATACTGGCACTGACCTGATGGGCACTGCTACAGGTCTGCAAGAAACGGCACTGCCGGGGTGAGAACCCAATGCACAGTATCGGTTCTTCGTTAATTAGAAAGTCGATGAAGAGGCACCTCCTGGAGCCGGCGAGGATACCCGGCTCCTCGGCGGCAGGACGCTGGGCGGATAGCACAGTGCCAGACTGACACCTGGAGGGAGAGCCAAGCATGAGCTCGGGGACAAGATGCTCGCACGGGAGAGGCATGCCCCTGCCTTTGGGAAGTCACCTACCCCCACGAACTGCCTCGGATCCTCTTATCACCCACCTGCTGCAACGAGTCTTCTCTTCTCCAGCTGGAGCAGTTCTGGGATGGGCCTGCTAGAAATAGGGAAAATTGGGGGGGTGGGGGAGAGAAATTCAATGCCTCAACAATCACCACCAAGAATATCTTCACCCTCTCCGTTTCAAAATTGAACAATTTTTTTTTTTGCTCACATTTTGTCATGCGCATTTGAGATATTTTGCTTGGATAATTCTTCTTCCAAGTCATTTGCCCCCTGTTGCTCCCTGAAAAAAACACAGCAAAATAGAGCAGGGCATAAAAAGATCCTGTCGGTACTACAGAGCCGATACCACGTAGTACAAATAAACTGGCTGTTCTTTCCTAGGTTTTCCTCAAATAGCAGGCTAAACAGTGGTTACGGGGTTATACTTCATGCGCCTAAGTAGGACATTGTACAGATACACTGCTGGACAATAAAAGAATGGAACTCAGCAGGGCACAGTTAGGGTTAACAAGAAACAGTTTAGCTCATTTGTGATCTCCTCAGCCATCCCTTTGAGAGCCTTCCCTACCTTGGTCTGCACAGGTGACTCTAGTTTCAGCAGAAAAGTATGGAACCTCTCAGGCACATTCATCTTTACCCCCAATTAAGCTTATCTGCCAGTAAAATTAGGGATACAGTATAGGAATTAGGGCAAGATACTTACTTACCCAAGAAGGTCAATTTAGGTCAAAGCTATCTTGCACAGATGGCTAATTTCAATCACTTACGCATACAACACAATTGTTCAATAAGCTCAAAATAAAAAGTGTAAGTAATTAATTTAAAGCTGCCCTAATTGTTTCTCAATTTTCCCTATTAATTTAACCTATAACACTTCCCCATCAAAGCTTCAAAGCTTTAACTTAAGAGCCAATTAAAGCTTCTTTTATAAAAAAAAGTCCTGTCAGCTCTGATTCCTTCTGACTGAACTCTTTGAAGCACTTGGGATTTCATTTAAATTGCACAGGGCTTAGAAACAAAGTGTTTTTTCCAGGTATAATGTTCTCAGTGAGCTAATGATTCAATGGACTATTAAGACTAATTAAGGTTTTAACTTGGTAGCAACTTTCTAAGCAGTATTTGGCTTGACCAAAGTGAGTCACCACTCGAGCGAACAATGAATCTCCTCATTTGTCAGGGGAAGCTGGCAGGAATGCGGCTTCCTGAGCTCACTTTCACCACGGCAGCAAGAGGCTCCTTGGGACAGTCGGAGTTCACTCACCTGAATTAACGTGGCAGCTGTATTCTTATGCCTTTAAATGCATGTATCTGCATAAACGTATATTATCTCCCTCATTCTCCAAGTGAGCATTGCAAAGAGAAAAGCCAGTGGGACACCTGTCAGGAAAAAAGATTGCCACTATGTAGATACCATTCTTGTTAGTTTGGTCCCGCTAGTTTGGTTCAGAGATTTTAGCTTCCAAATGCAGTAGGTTGACCAAAACAGGACAGTTTCCTATTTTTAGCACATCTGATAGGGGTCAGCTAGAAGTTGAACTGTTCTTCCACCACAGAACAGAAACATCGACAGCCTACGAATTATTTCCCTTTTGAGCAAGCTACCAGATAACACCTTTGCGGCCTCCTAAGATTCTGTTTCCCCCAAGCTCTGGTATCTGAATTCTCAGTCCTCCTGCGACCCTGTTACACGTGAGACTGGCCTAGCCATCTCCCGAGGATGGGCCAACTTAGCTCTTCTCAGCACCGCACCACGCCGCAAGGTGTTTTATTACACCTTGCTTCCCTGCGTACCTAATGCGACTTTGCTGTCTGCAGAAGGGATTTCCTGTGCTCCATCCTAAATATAGCCAGCGGTATGACCTGGGTCTCTCCCCTCCTGTCTCAAGGTCTACGGATCTTCTTTCAGAATGCATTTTCTCTGTGTATCTTTCCTAAGTTATTATTATTAATTTCATTAATAGCAAGCTCGGGTGGTGGGAAAAAACAGAAACAAAGAAGCCATACGGAAAGGAAGACAGAAATTAAGTAAAATAGGAATGAACCATTCAGAGACATGCTTCAGATACATCCCGGAAAGGTGAGAACACAAGTAAGTTTCTTAAAGCTAAGCCTGCTGAATTATTACTATGAACAGGATTCCTCTGGGTAACTGTCCAAAGTCCTGTGTCGGCACACGCAGGAGAAAAACGTACCCAGCATGCAGAAGAGCGGAGAGGGAGGGAGAAGGCATGAGGAACAGTCCGCAGGTCTGTAGAGGCAGGAGGAATACAGTTTTCAGAGCACTGACATTAAGATATCTCAGTGACTGATTCATGAGTAGAAATATTCCAGAGCTGCTGTTGACCAAAACCAACTTAATTTGGGTAACCAAATGGTGTAACGTGGAAGCTTGGGGGTGATGTAGCACAGTTGGTTATGTTGCAATGTCTAGGATTTGAACACCTGGTCTTCACTGTCATTCTTGATTTCAAACGCCCATCACCTTGCTTCTTTTACTTGACAATACAAATCTCTCTGCCACGGCTAAATCTTTCATACTTGTCACACCATCTTGGAGAAATGCTCTCATATTTTGTTTAATGAGACAAAAGACCTTGAAAGAATTCTGCATGGCACGTTACTGGAGGGGAGGGGCAGCTGAAGGAGGATTACCATTCAGCACACTTATTTTCAACTTTGAAAACGAGAGCACAGTGATACCTAGTGAATGACTTCTTTCTCCCCCCCCCTTTTTTTTTTTTTAAATTCAGGAAAAAAAAATTTAAAAGCAAGTGGCAAACAACCCACAACTTATCTTATTTAGGTAAAGCAAATCCTTTGGAAGAGTCTTCTTCACCACTAAGATTATTTTTTTTGGTACTTCAAAGAGTACACAGGAAAAAAAAAAAGAAAATGCTAATAATAATTACTGCAGTGAACCAGAGATTGCTCTTGCAAGCTGCAAGTACGATTCCCTCAAGCAACGACAACCCTCCGCACTTCTCAACTTCACAAGTCTGTTTCCCGCCTCTATTTTAGAAAGGTTTGCATCGTTCGGGTCTACCTGAAAGTAACAGCTGGTTCTCCCAAAGAAGGATCTTTCTCCGAAAGTTTCTCAGAGCTGGGCACCATTTCCTTTTAGACAAGGTTCTCTGCCACGACGGTAACGCAACATTTTACCGCGGATCTCAGGTTACCAGAGCGGTAACGGGGGAAGCAGTTATACCCTCACCGATGGCTGCCAAGCAGGGCTGCATTTTGCACCAATTCCACCCGGTTTGGGGCACTTACGGACATCACACGACACACACACACACACACACCCCCCGCGGCAGCCTTTCACCCCAAGTTAAAATCTCCACTTTTTGAGACCGGCTTCCTTCGAGAGGCTTCCAGAAAAAACCC